AGGCATTGTACCATACCTGTATCTGGCACTATTTCAAAACAGTGGCCTAAGTTCCTGCTTTGAAGACTTTGCCTAACTATAGGAGGAGTCAAAAACACAGGGAAGAGGAATGGGAATGAGGGCAAAGGCAATCTTGCGTGGCCATTTGGGAAGTTAGTTACTGAGGGACCTACAGCTGCTGCAGTAGGCTGAGTGAGCTCTGTGTCGGTGTGAATGGTTTGCTCCATGGACACCAGGTTCAGCACAGTAGGAAGGAGCTGCAGCAGAGCTTTTTGCTTCCCCCAGAGGCTGTGAAGTGAGGTCTCGTGTACGAAGAGATTGGGCTGGAGGAGGAAAGGAGAACCCTGAGCCTTACCTGTCTGCACTCAACTCTTCTAATCCAACATCCACATGCTAGACACTAGTGAAAGCTTGCCTTGGCCACACTACCACCACGCTGTATCTGAAACCTACTGACCACCACAGCTATCTTCACTGCACCAGCTTTCACTCTGAGCACACGGCTAGATCCAGTCTACCTTACAACTGCGTCTGCTTGCTTCCACCTTGAGGATTTAGAACCAAGATTCCTACAATTACGAGAAAACCCTAAAACTGTAACCACTCTAATCAGCCTCGCTCTGACCTTACAATACTAGCCATGGGACAAGAACAAGAGTTTCCCTCTGGCTGCCACCTATGTGCAACAGCCTGAACACCTCAGACGCATTATGAACGACATCCGACCCCTTCTGGAAAAGGATGCATGCCTCAAGGCAGCCTTTGGAGGCAAACCTGTCCTGGCCCACAGGCAGCCACCCAACTTCAAACGGTGACTCTGAAACAACAGACTAACCACCTTCCATCCTCACTGAGCCTTGCAGTGGACCCATATCCTAGTTGTGTCCCCACTTCAGTGCAGATCACTGCACTGAATAACAAGGAGTACAGCATCCAAGAGTCATTTGCTTGCTGCCGTACCAATGCCATGTGTATCCTCACTTGCTTACAGTGCTCTGCTGCTGTCTACCTCAGATCTCTGCATGTAAGAATGAATGAACACTGCTCTGACATCAACAGTAACAAGAAACAAAAGACCTGTGGGCTGTCTGGGTGGCTGTTGTCAGGCAGCAAATTTTCAAAACCAGTTAGAATGAGAAATTGCAAAACCAGCAATCACCCACAGACTAGACTGTTAAGTATGATTTACACAGGGACTATGGGTTCTTATCCCATACCTGGATTAGCTTTTTGTGACCCCTTTGTTCCTATGGGCTCTTTGCTCATTTGCCTCTCCCAGCACTTTGCCCTTCTCCTTCCTCCCTTTCCCCCTTTTGTACTCAAATAATTTGCTCTACTTGATAAGCTGCTCCATGCTTCTCCTTTCCCAGGTGAAGCAAGCAGCAGTTTATGAAAGCTCACGCTCTCGGTATATCATAGTTATGCACTGTATAGACTATCTACCATGCCTCTGTTCTGAAAGATAGAAGAGGAGGGGGGAGAGGGGTTGATATCCAGAACCTATTGGAACCAGCAGCTGGAAGTCGTGCCAGATGCCAATGTAGCTTGTGTTTTGGGCACAGAACTAGGTAATTAACTCACTTAGGAAGAGAATCTGGTTACTGGAGCTGGGGAAGCAGCAGAAACCCAATGTAAATCTGACAGTTAAATACCTAATATGGAAGCAAACTTGCCAGTAAATTTCCAAACCCACTGCAGCTGCCTCCTCTCCCTGAAGGCTTGTGAGAAGCTGCAGTTTCTCAACATGCCTGGTTTCCTCTTTGTTAATCATAAACACGGTCTCCAGTGAACCTGCAAACCAGACTGGAATGTTTCCATTTCCTTTCCAGCTGTGATGCTGGAATAGGTTACGTAAGGCTGGTTTGTGCCCCAGCCCCAGCCTTGGCTGTTAGACCAGAGGTTGGAAGATGCAGGTATTTTTAACTCTTTCCTCAACTTTGATTCTGACTGTTGAGGGGTGCATCCATGTGCTTAAACAGTACTGACTCGTAGGTACCTGCTTCTGTAATGTCAGGGCCTTTGCCCAGGGCCATGAATCTCTCTTTGGGAATAAAGAGGATGAGGGTGGCAGTTACACCAGACTGAAAGGTAAGTCAGGGAAAGCACAAGAAGAGGCAGGGGGTAAAGCAGCTTTTGAAAGACCGGGTAATGCCTTATGCTGTGTGTGACAGCCTTTCTCTGCTTGGATGCAACACTGTTATTTTCCCACCTTGCGGTGACTAGATTCAGGAATTTTGGGAACATTGTGGAGGCCGGCAGAGGTCAGCGGACCCAGCTGTCTGCACCAGCTCCGTGATGATGGCCTTGTGAAGAACCAGCTGCTGGCATGTTCCAGGGTAACAACAGCCCTTAGCAGAGGGGCTCCCAACCACTTTGAGAAGCTGGAGGGTGGGTGGGAAGAAGGGACAACAATGTGCAGAATCTTTGTTGAGAAGGGTGGGGGCCGCTGTGGAGTGGAATGGGGTGCAAGATGCCCCAGGTATGGGGGGTGGCAATGAGAGGGCAGCACCTAGGGCACAGTGGTGAGGAAGGGAAGCGTGTAAGCAGCCCCTACCTGTGCAGCATGCTTGGTTTGCAGGAACAAGTGTGCAACTTGCCCTTGCTATGAACCATAGTTTGGTGCTCTCACCCCAGCTGCACAGCAGGTCACTTGAGTGCAGCACTAACACAAGCTCCCATTAGGCTGTGCAAACCCACGCTCCCTTTATTAGCTCCTCCATCCCCAGGCGGCTGCCTTTCAGCAACCTTTGAGATTGGAGAGGCAGTTGCTTCCCTGGTCTTAAGACCAGAGGCTTTGTTGTCTCCTGCTTCAGCTATCTTTGTACAGTATCAGGCCAGGAATAACATACTCTGAATTTAAGTACAAGGCTAAGAAAGTCCCTGGGACCTGGGCTGTGGCATAGATTGGACTGTTAACAAGCAGTCCCTGCCTGCATGGTGAGGCCGTGTTAAGCAGGAGTTGGCCTCATCTACTTCTTTTTTCATGTCAGTTGCATTGAGGTGTGACGGCTGCTTTGCTGGAAGTGTAAGGAGTGTCTTGTTTGACAGTATTGACCTGTGTTAGGCTCTGGTTCTTAAGCCTCACCTCACACTAGCTGACTGGGACCTCCACAGTAGCAGGGCATGCTGGCAGCACTCCCGGTTGCAGCTTCCGTTCTTTCCCCAGTGTGTGAGGTCAGATACCGTTCCTCCTAGTAAACAAAGGGTTAACAGGAAGCTGACGGAAGTGGGGGCCACATGGGAGCCCAGTACCTGAGGCAGCTGCTCTTCCCCACTCCCTCGGTAAGAACAAATGGCTTTGTCCTGGAGCAGGGGGAGGCAGTTTGGCTGCCAGCCTCCATGCAACAGTCCTTTGTGATGCAGAATTTAGTGGCCCTTAAGGAGCATCATCTTGCTCCAGTCCAGCTCTCAGTAGCTGTACAGTTCTGAAGACTTTTAAGAGGAAAAAAAATTTATTAAACAATGAGTTGAAGACGAGGATTAATTCTACACTGCCGAGATGCTGGCTTCCTCTCGAGACAAACAGTACCAAATGTTCAGCTTTGGGGACACAAAGCTGCTTTTTAATTATAAAAACATTTACAACCACTACTTGCTCTTGCCAACTCTTGAAATCCCTGGCCAGAAATTCACTTTAGGCAGGACCTTGCTATGCCAAGTTTCCCCCCGAAGCAAACGTGCGTTAGCGTTAATTCATGAAACGGGGATTTCACAATGGCAACGGTGACAGAATCTTAGTTAAAGCAGCATGAGAACAATGCGAAATTTCTTGAAACCAGCCACACATTCAGATGTAGGGAGGCCACACAGCAGCGTTATTAAGACGAGCTCTAATATCAACATTTCACAAGCTCCTGTCTCATCCCAACACGAGAAATACTGTATAGCCCCTGACAGCACCAATAAATGAGACCAGTAGAGCCAAACATAACTTTAGACATAGCGTAACTGCCTGGAAGCTTCAACTCCTCTAAGTTTAGCGTAGGTAGAGAAAGTAAGAAACACCCTTGTGACCTGGAATGCTTTTAAAAAAACAGCAGCAGAAAAGTAAGAGTTTTATTGTCCCTACTGGTGTCCCGTTCAAAAATCTTCCCTTTCCCCAGTGCATTCATATTAAGGTGCTTTTTGTCTTTTGCAGCGGGAAGTGGGCACCCCTACTCCCTTCCCCCCAGAACAGTACTGCTTTTGTCTCTTGTTACTCGGAGCCCCACATTCTCTTCGTTCTACCCCCCAGGCATACAAATTGTGTAGTGGAGGAAGTTGGAAGAATAACTTATGCTGCTTGGTTTTTGGTTTCACTAATGTGCCACTCCTGGTCTTTATCCCCCAGCATTGAGATTTACTCCCAGAGAAAATGGAAAGCCTTTTACGTTTGGAGCTTGTGATGTGGCTTTACTTTTTGTCCAAGCGTGTTTTGGAGTGCATGCTCACGAAACAGTAGGGTAGATGGTTCTTGTAAGAAAAAACCCTTTCCCTTCAAATTAGCATAGCCTGCGCTACCTTACCTCTTAATTCCATTCCTGACCACTCTTACTTGGTAGTCACATCTGAATTCAAGATGTTTGTCTTGGGAGCCCCTTTTTTCCCTTCACAGTCACGTGATGGCCTCGTGGCAACCACAGCACGGAAAAAAGCTTACATATGTAATGACCTGTAATGCTAGCCTGAGTTGTATTTGATTTGAAATGGCTACTTCTTTGGTCTCTTTTTTCCCTCCTTTGACTCTCCACCTCTTACCTACCGTATTCATCCCTCTCAGTTTGCTGCGTGTTCCTTCTCAGCTTCTGCACGTGCTAACTTGTCTTTTGACCCATATCAGTGTAATCCTATTGTCTAGTTTCCATCTCCCTAAGTGTTCTCCCATGATCTGCTAGGCCCTTCTTCCTCTCCAGATCAAAACTGGTGGTTCCAAATAGGTTGGTTTTGCTCCCTGAGAGCAGCTCCTTGTTTTCTCATTTCTGGGACCCAGGATGAAAGTAAAGAAAGGACACTGCCACGTCACACCCTCTTTGTGGGAGGAATTTTTATTGTACTTATCCCCTAATTGAGAAAGAGGAACATATTAGCTCAGTTCAACATCAGTGATCAGCATCTTGCTACTGCTTGGAATACTCTAGCAAAGCCGGTGTTCCCATTACTCAGAATTTAATATTTTAATACTTGTTAAACTAACGTCTCAAACGAAACCCAGAGTAAATGCATGTTCCTCCTTGTCGTGTTTTTAGTACCCCAACTACTTTTGCTTCAATATTTAAACAATGTCATTAAATGTGTCCCAGAGAGCTGAGGCTCTGAGAACTTGTAGCCATGAGGAAAATGCACAAAGAAAAAATAAAATCTGATAATTTACCAGTCTAAGAAAACAAGACCTATCAATATATTAGGAAATAAATCCAGTTACAAATGCATGGTGGATGGGAAGAGCATTTGTGGGGGTCAGAACTGAAAATGATCAGCTATTTACAAGATACACAGCAAAATGGTGCAGCAGCCAAACCCCAGCGTTCAGAAACCAAATGTGTTCTCTCCACTGTAGGCCACGTACAAGAATCCATCCTCATCCTTCTCCTTCTCGTACAGCTGTCCCATAGTTAAGCTTGAGCAAGAGGGGAAAATAAGAAAGCATTAGGTCTGCAGAGCTGCAGATGACAACAGCGACTATGAGAGACAGAGCCTGGACTCAACGAACGCCAGAGCTCGACACAGGTCCCGCATCGTGAATGAGAGAGCAGAAGAGTCTTCTGATCCTGGCAGTACAGAGAGTGCACACACCACTCAGGCACCAATTTGATACTCTTTAACTACTCCCAAGCCCAGAAGTGCCCTGGGAGAATGCTAGGACCTTGGGCACATCTACACGAAATGTTTACAGCGTAGCTGTCTAACGAGCTCCACAGTAAATGTCTCTGTCTACATGTACGGCCCTATTAAGCCACAGTAAAGTAAAACTCTGCAACATGTTAGTACAGCAACGTGTGTGTGTAGACATTGACAGGCTGCCTGCTGGTTAGCCCCACACTGGACAACCTTGTGCCCCAGCCAGCCCTTCCACAGCACACTGAGCTGGGTCAGAGTAGCCCTGGGGTGGCAGGCTGACCCCCAGGGCCCTCTGCCAGCTGGGGCTGCTCCAGCCCAGCTTAACATGCTGTGGTCCCAGGTGCATGTTCAAACATGGCACCCAGGAGCAATAAACTCTGGCACAGTATGCACCAGAGTTTATGGCTTGGAATTAATTGCACTTGTAGATGTGCCCCCCATGTAGCATCTGCTTCTCTAAAACATCATTCCACATGTCCAAGATGGCTAATAAGTCATTTTTTTATTAGCTGCATAGTGAGTAAGCCAGGGGCCTTTCATCCTACATCTTACACAATAGTATAAGTGATATTTTTCCATAATTTTGAGATTTAAAATAGGTGGCCACATAAATTCATTTGCAGCATAACGACTTAAGGATTATTTTAAGCGTTTTAAAAAGCAACTTTAACATGCTCAGTTTGACTTTACAAAATTATTATTGTTGACAGTTGTTAGTGTTCTTGGGGTGCCTTGAATAATGAGCCACAACACCTATCCTAAGGAAATTACCATCTGAGAGGCCACTCAGAATTTGGGAGTCAGTGTCATATCTTGGGCTTTCTGAAGGGCAGTTGTCTTGTCAAGAGATCAAGTCTAACTAAGAAGTTCCCTATTTGTCTCCAACTCTTATGTTGCCAGAATATCCTTTTCCACTATTGTTCCCCAGGATCTATTACAATTCAGCTGATTTACAACCATTCTTCCTTCCAGCTTTGTATTAGAAACAGAATGGAACGTGTTATTATTTTGCCAAAACCTACAGCAGCAAGATTAAGGTACCAAACCCTTCTCCTTAAGGGGTTGGTGAGCTGCTTTTCACAACACCATCCTTAGCTGTAACAGGAGCCAACAGCAGAGCAGAACACTGTCTCAGGCTCGCATGGGTTTGCGGGAACGCACGTACATTCCCATGGAACAGCCTCTCACCTGGACTGTGGGACAGTCTTGTCTACAAAGAGGAATATTGCTTTCTCAGATGGCAGCTGAATCCTCTTCCTGATGATCCACATGAACTGGGCCACAGTGATGTCAGAAGGAACCAGATACTTCCTCTTGTCAATGTCAACAATCTGAGAGCCTGAGACCTTCTCCACAATGACCTATTAAGCACAGACACAGAAGAGAGGCTTTCATACACACAGAAGGATCCAGTGAGTCACTTGCTGGCACAGGTTTACAATGCCAGGAGAAGGTTATCCAACCGAGAAGGTGCCCAGATTTGTTTCTGAGAAGAGGGAGGGTCTAGTGATAAAAGAATGGAAAAACAAGAATGGTAGAAGCTAACCAAGGGCTTACTCGATGGCAAAATACTGTAGTGGTGCCATTAACCTCAGGTCCAGACTGACTTACTGCAAACAGCCATTTTTTCTAGGAGCACTAACATCCATGTGCATAAGGATCTTGCCATGAACTTCCCTGTGCTTTTCTAAGGCTGCCAGGCCCTGTTCTGAAGCTTAACTTTCCTACCCCTAAAGCTAGCAGTAGCCACTGTCGGTATAGTGCAGCCAGAGGAGCCCATAACGAGCAGACACAAGGACTGTGTTTCCTGGTTGTCAGAGACCTACCTTTACTGTCATTCTGCATCCCGGTAAGGTCTGAGCTCTGCTGGACAACCTGAACTCAGCATTAATAGATACTGGGCAGTGGACAGTCTCTTAACTGGCAGCTACCTACTAACATGGTCAAAGGCAAAGATACTCCACTATTTGCAGAATCTGCGATTTTATTAAGACAAGGGAGGGGTCAGGAAAAGAGCCTTTTATTCTTAAGCCTTAGGGTTGCAAAGAGCCCACTCATGCTGGCCTGTTAGCATTTTGCTCCACCCACAGGGACCTGATAAGGAGCAGGGAGTTTTGTTCTGGTGAGTTTTCCTGAGTGAGGCAGGCCACAATAGCACTTCTCTCAGAGCAATAACCCACCAGGACTAGTGAGTAAAGAGCTCTGGATAAGTGTGCACAGTCTCTCACTACAGTTGGCTGCAGCGAGAGGTTATGAGAGGAGAGTGAAGTCAGCTTAATAGATAAATAAATAGAACCCACGTTGGACCGTCACCTATCAACCCCACACCACAAACTCATCAGGGCAGGACTCCCCCCTCCTACACTACAAAAGCTTGGGGAAAGTAGCTGCAGAAGGAAGCCAGCCAGAAACTCATTCTTATGCTAACGTTTAAAGCATCATTAAGCTTTAGGGCTAACAACCACAACATAAGAGGAGCTGGCAAGAATTCACAACTGAGAGTAGCTTTCCAGGCTGTGGCCAGACCCAGGCAGACAGTCCTATATTGATGACATTCATCTGGAAAGCATCTCCACAATGAAGAGGGCTGGCAGTGTACTAAATGGGGTTAGAGTTTGACAATGTTAAGCAAGTTACCTAAATGAATCACAGAGGCAGATGTGTTCTCTGCCTGCTGCTCCACCATAGGTTATTGTTCTTGATACATGAATCACTGGCTGAACTTCTCTGTTTTATATCATGAAGAGGTGAGCCCAGATGACCAAAATGGTCCCTGCAGGCTCTGAATTGTATTGAATTGGGAACAACAGCTTGGGAGAAGTGGCAGTCCTGGGAGAAGGGCCACAGAAACCAAAAGAAGGAGGCTGCTGGGATGAAGAGATATCCGATGTTAGCTGCAGCAGCAGGAAAAGACCTGATTAACACTGGTTCCCTGACGCCAGACACTAACAGCAACTAACATGTAGGAGAATGCAGCGTGTGGTGGAGGGGGCTGTAACAAGTACCAGTGTCTCCCCTTCCCTGCACTCTCGCAGATGTTTCCATGATGCCGGTCACTGTAGTTTCAGAGTGACAGAAAGGAAATTAGACTGTAGTTAGTTCCCTAATGGGGTTCAGAGAGGATTGTGCTAGTGTCTGCCCCAGGTTGCACAGCTGTCTTTGCAGGGGTGAAGACAGGAGGCCCAAGGGTTGGCTGGTACCTGCTTGGAAAAGAGCAGCAGCAGCAGCCTACAGAGGGGAACTGGGTTTCAAAACCTAATAACATATTTATTTTGAAAAATACCATTTCCTCAGGGCTATTTAACCTTTGTCCTCCAGGCTGCCCTGGCTGTAGGTCTTGAGGTCTCCAAGGCCCAACGCCTGTCCCAAGCGGGGGTGACAAGGTTCAGAAACACCCCTAGTATTGGTCAATTTGGCTCTTGACCAAAAACTCAAGTGAACAGAAGCAATTCTACAGGTGCTGCTTGGATGCAGAAGGAAGCCTAAAGAGATGACTGCAGGTACTTGGAAAGCTACTTCTGAACAAAGAAAGCTCAAATATTTTGTAAACGACAGAGTGGATTAATCAGAGAAGGTTGATTAAAACCGTCCATTTACACCACCAAGCTGGAAACCTCGATTAAAAAAAAAACCAAAACAAACAAACAGAGTTTGACACTCATTTTGCAACTCTAAACTCCAGTTTGGGGGGTCCTCAAAGATTCACCCCTTAAGGGTCATCTCAAAGGAGCAGTGCTGGCTGGTATGCCACATCTGGCTCTCAGGCCATACCTGGGAATGATTCTTGAAGCTGGAAAGCCTCACAGAATGTCAATTACAATTGAGTATGCCCTTTATCAAACTCTGTTTGGATGGGAATTGGAATGCCAATAAGTGTATAAAAATTAAAATTATTTCTGAGTTAAAAATGTTAAATGTACTTGCTAGCCAAAAATAGCATGCATCAAGCAATGCTTTCTTTTAAATCAAATGTATTGCACTAATAAACTAATAAACTTTCTGGAGCTCGTGAACTCAACTTGAGGAGACGATCCTCCAAGCCCAAAGGAAGGTAATCCCAACGAGGATCAGAGGGAGCAGGAGAGCACGCAAGCCTCCACGGCTCACCAAAAGCATCCGGGAATGTCTCCTTGCTAGAAAGGAGGCTTACACCCATTGGAAAGAAGGGGTCATCACCAGGGAGGGCTATTCTGCAGTTGCTCGGGGATGTAGGGGGGTAGTTAGGAAGGCCAAGGCAGAGATGGAACTGGGACTAGCTTCCCAGATTAAGGACAATAAGAAGTCCTTTTTTAAATACCTAGGGGGTAAGAAGAAGGTCCCGGGTAATGTGGGGCCCTTGCAGGACGCGTTGGGAAACTTGGTCGTCACACCAGACGACAAAGCTAACACGCTTAACGATTTCCTTGCCTCCGTCTTCCTAAGTAGGGACCAGAACAGCCAGCTCCCTGCTGGGCCCCCCTCGGGCCCCGGGGGAGGCACACCTGGGCCAAGGGTTAGCGAGGACTTAGTTAGGGAGCTTCTGGAGGGGCTGGACGTTTTCAAGTCAGCCAGTCCGGACGATCTCCACCCTAGAGTTCTAAAGGAACTGGCCGAGGTCACCGCAGGACCCCTGGCACGGCTTTACGAGCTCTCGTGGTGCACTGGAGAGGTACCGGAGGACTGGAAGAGGGCCAACGTGGTTCCCATCTTCAAAAAAGGGAGGAAGGAGGACCCGGGAAACTATAGGCCACTTAGTCTTACCTCGATCCTAGGCAAGCTGTTTGAGAAAATTATTCTGGCACACATCCAGGAGGGGCCAGCAGGGGACTGCATGCTTAGGGGCAATCAGCACGGGTTCATCAGTGGCAGGTCCTGTCAGACCAACCTGGTGGCTTTTTATGATCAGATCACCAGATCATTAGATGCAGGGGTAGCAGTGGACATAGTCTTCCTGGACTTCCGGAAGGCTTTTGACACTGTCTCTCACCCCGTTCTCATTAAGAAACTGGGGGGCTGTGGCGTAGACACCCACACAGTCAAATGGGTCGCCAACTGGCTGGAGGGCCACACCCAGAGGGTGGTAGTGGATGGGTCCTTCTCAACCTGGAAGGATGTGGGCAGTGGGGTTCTCCAGGGCTCAGTCCTTGGGCCCGCACTGTTCAACATCTTCATCAGTGATTTGGACGAGGGGGTAAAAAGCACCCTGTTCAAATTTGCTGATGACACTAAGATGTGGGGGGACGTGGGCACACTAGAAGGAAGCAACAGGCTACAATCAGACCTAGACAGGTTACAAGGGTGGGCGGATGAGAATAGGATGGGATTCAACACAGACAAGTGCAAGGTGATGCACCTGGGGAGGAACAACCGGCACCATACCTACAGGCTGGGGAACTCCCCTTGTCAGCACGGAGGTGGAAAAGGATCTCGGAGTCGTCATCGACTCCGAGATGAACGTGGGTCAGCAGTGTGGGGAGGCAGTTTGGAAGGCCAACCGTACCTTGTCATGCATC